CTTTCCCTCTCTTTGCCAGATTTTTCTCTTCATCCACGCACTCCTTGATCCCTTGTACTTTAATTCATACTATTAAAAACATTCTATAAAGATTCCAGTAGGCACCTTTACTCATCTTTTCTTACTGTCTTTTCTTCATGACTGCTCTCCTTACACTCAGAATTCCTCGCTCAATTTCTATGATATTTAGTCATCCTTATTCTTCACCTGCTTCTGGGGTGGTGATTGGGTTTGGGGTTTTTTGTTTGTTTGTGCCTCTTTCATTAATTCCTTCCCATAGTCTTAAGCCTGTGTGTTCTCCAGTGTCCTGTTTTTGCTCTTCCCTTTTCCCGTCTTTAATTTACCTCGTGTATCTTACCTGCCTAGTTCCATTCTACTCTAGCACATATCTTCCCCCAGGAATGTTGAGCCTTTTCTTCTTTACTGTCTCCATCTCTCTCTGTAGACATGTCAGGATTCTACTCTCCTTGAGACAGAGTTTTAGACTCCTGTCTTCTTCACTCTGTAGAACATCTCCACATGGTTATGGGTACCTCACATTTAACATATGTGTTAAAAGATTTGTGTTCCCCAGGTCTGTGATTTTGCATTCTTTCACCGTCTCAGAAAATGGACCTCCATTCTTCTGGTTGTCAGGTCAGGAACCTTGGCGTCATTCTTGACTCTTATTTCTTATTTCCTCTGCGTTTACTTCATCACCACATCCTCTTGGCTGATACCTTCAAAGTGTATCCAGGATTTCACCACCCCAATGCTATTACCATCCCTGACTGAACCACAGTTACTCGGTTTTTTATCGGTAGCTGTCGTCACAGAGTTGTACATTAGATCTCCAGAACTTCCCTTGCGTAACTGAAACTTTGTACCCCCTTGACCAGCATCTCCCCATATGCCCCTCCCCGCAGGCCATAGCTGTTGCCTCGTTGAATGCACTCACTCCTTAAGTGTCTCCCTGCGTCCGCCTGTGCGTCTCTACTTGATTCTAGTCTATGCAGCCAGAGTGAACCTTTTCAGACCTAAGTCCATCTCACCCCTCTGTTCTGAATCTTCCGATAGTTTTCTGTCTTGGAGTAACAGCCAAAGCTATTACAATGGCCCATTGAAGGTCCAGTGTGATGTGGCCCTACTGTTTCTCTGACCACACCTCCTACCAGTTTCCCTCATTCACCTCACTCCAGCCATGCGGGCCTTTTTGCTTGACCTTGAACGTGACAAGCATGCTCCCGTCTCAGGGTATTCATAGTTGCTCTCCCTACGTCTGAACCCGTCTTCATCCAGGTAGCCGTGTGGCTCACTGCTTCGCTGCCTTCAGGTCTCTGCTCAGATGCCTCCCGTTCGCTGAGGTCTCCGACCACAGCCATGAATCACTCCTCCCCGACTCCTCCTCCCTGTCCTTCTTTCCTTGCTTTAGTTTTCTGCATGGTGCTTTTTACCATCTTCCATAGAATGAAATTATTTATTTGTTTTATTATTTGTGTCACTCCATGAAAGGGTGAGCTTCATGAAGACAGGGACTTTATATATTCTGCTCACTGCTGTGTTACCTGACATGTAGTGAGTGCTCAGTAAACATCCGATAGAGAGTGAAGGCATCGCCACATGAGAGAAGTGATTAATCGTTGTGGGATGGACTCACGGTGGATGACAGGCACCTTGAAACAAAGAATAAGCAGGAGAGCCTTCCAGGCAAGCGGAATTGCAAGGGCACAGGAATAGGGACTGGAGACTTAAAGGTTATAAACTCGGAGGCTGTGGAAGTGGAGTGGGAAAGGTGCTGCCTTTGGAGCCCGCAGAGCTAGGTTTAAACCCTGGCACACCTTTACACTAGCTTTGTGGCATGTGCATGCTCTTCAACATCTAAAAATCTCAGTTTCTGCATCTGAAAATGGGGGTTAAGATTCCTATCTCTCAGAGTTGGTTAGAGAATTAAATGAAATAATGCCTGCAAGGCGCAAAAAGAGTACCTGGCAGAAGACTGCAGTGGTTATGTTGCTGTATGGAGAAGTAGATCCAAAAGTCATGTGAAATTTATGCAGGAAGAAACAATACTGGGCTTATAAACAACAAAGTTTAAGACCCAGCTAAAGACCTTGACTATACCCACTGTCAATGAGAAAAAAGATTGACCAAATTAAACATTTCAGGCACAATCTTTAACATTTTAATTTTCTGTACATTTAAAAAATTGTAAGCTGCTTGAGAATAGGTAATATATTTTCTATTTCTTTCTATCCCTTATAGTATAGTGTTAGGCACAGAGTAGACACTTAATAAATATTTGCTTCTCATTGTGGCTTTTTAAAGTTTTGTGCTGAGGATTTTTTTTAACACCATGTGAGTAATAAGATATGAGGTTGGATTATCATATACATGAATCATCTTTCAGAAGGTGACTCTAAAATAGAGATTATAATTATTATAGGGGTAGGTTAAAAAAAACCCTCATCTAGCCTTATAACTCAGTGCCCAAAATTTGTAAACCCTTTCAAATAAATCAGCTCTTAACTACTTATTCCATTTATATCATTAGTAGCCTGAGTTATGGGTATGATCCCACATAGACCTTTATTGCATGTGGGAGCTTCTTCCTGAACGGCAGCCTTCTAAACTTAACGTTTTATTCCTGACTCTGTCCAGGAGATGTACGCGTAAGGAGTCGAGCCGGATTTGAATCAGAAAGAAGAGGTTCTCATCCATATATTGATTTTCGTATTTTTCACGGTAAGTGTTAGCAGATGCAGTATTTCTCTCAGGCTTCCAGTAAAAGATCTTCATAAAATTATGTAATTTTCCAAGGAAAAGTGAATACAAGGAAAAACATATTATGTTTAAAATGTTTTTAAAATACTGGGTCATGATAAATGACACTTTATTTCTAAATAATGCTAGAGGCATAATTATTTAGGTAAATGTTTAGAGGCAAGTAGAATTGGAAAGTGTCAAAATATGAAAGCTGGTATGGTTTTTCGTCTTTCTAATTTAAACGTGAAATTACTTCGGTACATTTTTTTCCTTGTAAAAACTGTATTTTCAAAAAGTTGTTTTATTCTAAATGTTTTGTCTTCACGACTCTAGATAAAATGTTTTTGTGCAGGTGACATTATATAAAGGTATCTCATAGTTAACAAGGTATATATATATCCCTTGGATTTATTTAAAAACACACATACCCCTGAAAGATGTTTGGTAGAATGCGTATTTTGAAAACAAGCATTGTTTGGTTCCGGCGCATAATGGGAGAAAAAGGCAAAAAACAAGACTTCTAAAACCCTTAAATATTAACCATATTAAATCTGTTTTTGGAGGAGTTCCTCTTTTGGTAATGTTGGATAAATTATTTGGATTAACAATACAATTGAAAAAATTAGAAAAACTAGACGCAGTAGAAAAGACGTGTATTTGAGTGTATCAGAGTGCTGTTGAGGCAAGGACGAGGCAGGCATCTCAGGCTACTTTTCCCCTTAGTGACATCTGCTGATGCTGGGAAAGGTGGGTGAGACGCTGAGCAGAGCTTTTGTTGGACCCTTGAGGCTAGAAAAACAAAAACAGGTGTTTGTAGTTCACCAAGGTTGGGGAATTGTACTGGTAAACTCTCTATGCTTCCATCAGAGTCCCAAAGTGCTTTATATTAGAAATAAATCCCAGCTTTAAACTCTCTCAAATAATGATTTGATTAAGGTGATCCGTGATTTTAGTGCCTCTAAGCCATCTGCTTAGAAGTAAGTGTTAATCTTCTTTGGAGGAAGGAGACTCTTTTGGATTTGGTTTGCCAGTATTTTATTGAGAATTTCTGCATTTGTATGCATGAGAGAGAATGGTCTGTAGTTTTCTTTTTTTATAATGTCTGATTAGAGTGAGTTAGGAAGTGTTACCTGTGCTTCTAGCCTCTGAAAGAGATTTTAGAGGATTGGTATAATTTCTTCCTTAAAGCATTCACCAGTGAACCCCTCTAGGCCTGATGTTTTCTGTTCTGGAAGGTTGCTGATTATTGATTCAATTTCTTTAATAGATATAGGCCTTTTCAGGTTGGTACCTTCTTCTTGTGTGAGTTCTGGCAGACATTTACTGTGGGATTAACCTGGTCAAGCTCCTGGAGGTAAATCTCACAAAATTCTGCTCCCCGCTCCCACCCCATGACTGGATTTCCCTGGAGTTTTTAACTCTCAGAGAAGCCTCCAGAAGTTCATCAGTTATAGTTCAGGTTTCTCTGCCCCGGCACCGGTTCCCAAGGAGGTTTCCATTTGTGAGTCTCTGTGCCAGTAAGTTGTCTCTCTTTGCCTGTGTCTCCAATCTTGGGGCAGTGAGTTGCCCTGTGTCCTCACCTCTTGAGTGGATCCTAGAACAGTTGTTGATTTTGTTTTTTTTTTTTTTCTTGCGTTATGCGGGCCTCTCACTGTTGTGGCCTCTCCCATTTGCGGAGCACAGGCTCCGGACGCGCAGGCTCAGTGGCCATGGCTCACGGGCCCAGCCGCTCCGCGGCATGTGGGATCCTCCCGAAACGGGGCACGAACCCGCGTCTCCTGCATCGGCAGGCGGACCCTCAAGCACTGCGCCACCAGGGAAGCCCTGTTCAGCTTTTTATATGTTGTTAGGACAGAATGGCAACTTCTAAGCTCCTTATATGCAGATCCAGAAACCAGAAGTCCTATTGTGTTATTTCGAAATGAAATGATAAATATTTTGAATTTTTGTTTTAATTTCTATTATGGAAAATATCTGTAGATACAACGCACATAAGCTAAAGCTCTTTGGGGCAGTAAATAATTTTAAGAGTGTAGACGAGTTCTGGGCTGAACATGTTGGAGAAAAAGCTGCACAAGAGTTACCTCTAAAAGCATGAGGTCCTGGGCTTCCCTGGTGGCGCAGTGGTTGAGAGTCCGCCTGCCGATGCAGGGGACACGGGTTCGTGCCCCGGTCCGGGAAGATCCCACATGCCGCAGAGCAGCTGGGCCCGTGAACCATGGCCGCTGAGCCTGTGTGTCCAGAGCCTGTGCTCCTCAACGGGAGAGGCCGCAACAGTAAGAGGACCGCGTACCGCAAAAAAATAAATAAATAAAAAAAAATAAAAGCATGAGGTCCAGAGATTTTACAGGCAAATTATTCAGTATCTTTAAGAGACTGATAATTAGTTTCACAGCACTTTAAATTCTTTCAGATTACGAAAAAAAAAGTCATTCAGAGCTCTTTTTATAGAGCAAATATAACTTTCAAGAGGCAAATGTAATACTCTAAGTGTAAATGTCTATAAAAAAAATCTTTGGAAAAAATATTAGCAAAAAGAATACCAACAGCATAAAAGAATAATACTCCAGGATTAGTGGGTTTGTCTGGGGAAGGAAGCGAGAGTGATTCAATATGTAGTTTTTTTCTGTAGCAACACATTAGACCTTAGTAACATGGGTTGCCTCCAGGAGGGAAACTGGGCGGCTTGAGGACGTGAGAGAGAAAGAAGCTGTTTGTTTTACACCCTTTTGAATTTTGATTCATATGAACATATTACTCACTGAAAAGTTTAAATAAAATTGTTTGTAAATATTGTAATATACAAAGATTGGCTCTGAGTAAGGATATCAGTAAAATGGTTAAGTCTCAACATTGACCTAAAGAAAAGCACAGTTGCATTGGGAGTCTCTAGGTTACCCCTTGTCTTCTACTGCATTTTAGTGAAAGAGAGGATTTGAAAATTATAATTGTTATAAGATGCTGGAAGTCTTAAATAGGAGACATAATGGGACATTTCTGTGGGGGAGGGAAGTTGGAAATGACCAAATTGTTGGAGGTACTCTCTCATGGAATTCAAATAGGATGTTTATCTTCTAAATCATTATGAAACCAGGAGCAAATGATGTAAAATCTTAAGGACAAAATGAGAAAAGTACGAGCAAAGGTATCAATGATGGCAGTAAAGGTAAACGGATAAAATATTCCTTCTAAGAGATGCTCAGATTGGGTGAAAAATGAAACCTAGTGGCAAGAAATGGTTGAAAGCAGTGTGCAGCAGTCCCAGGCTTGAGGATGTTCCTTGGGCTTGGGGATTTCCACTTGCATCCTGACCTCCTGATGTGGAGCCTCTGTGGTCTGGTGTCTCAGGACAGCAGAGGCCACTCGGCTTCTAGGTATGCAGATTCTCTTCACAACCCCATCGTGACAAATGTTCTAAGACTCTAGGCTGTAGCTGGAAATTGTCACTGTGGAACTGACCCTGTAATTATTATAAAACAAGAGTCTCTCTCTAAGCCAAAATGATAACGTAATTTGGAGGGGTTTTTTAAATAGAGAAAAATGAGTCATTCTTTCCTACTCATGTCGTAGGTTCTGTTTATCACACAGCTCAGAATTCTGAAAAGAAAAAATTTTCATCGAGCGTATTTTGTGAAATGTGATCTAATCAGGGGGTGAGCGCATGCCCGAGCTGTGGCTGAAGCCTCCCGAGTGCCGCCTTCACCCGTGCCCTGCGGACCTGGCCAGCGCTGCGGGGTGGGCGTAATCCCTCGAGGGCCTGAGCAGTCGGGCTTCAGTAATGTGCCCTCTCCTTTGTATACAATTAAAATAAGATTTTATTTTTCACAATGACATAAATATTTGCATGCTGAAGTTAAAATAGTTTCTAGAATGTTCTGAATACAAAATTCTGGATAGGTGTATTAAATTCATTGAAGCTAGAATTTTCTGTGTACCGTTCCTCACCCCACGCCTTCTGTGCATCTCCTTGGTTTTACCTTAAACTCACTGTTAACTTTCCCTGTTGTAAAATTCTTGTCTCTCTCAGTTCTTTCATTGCTTACATCCAGTCTGCATTCAGTCCCATGTATTTAGTAACCGAAAATAGCTGTCATTCTCCTCTCCTTTCTGTCCTCCTTATCTCCTATCCTGCGTGATTCAGACTTCTGTTACCGCTGTCTGGGGTTATTCTGGTGGTCTCTTAACCGTTGTCCTTACTTTTAGGATTCTGTCTTGTAATCTGCCCTCCCAGGGCAGGGTCTTTTTAAAGAGAGAGGGAGTTTAAAATACAGGAGAAAATGCATATCAACAGGTTAGAAACATATATTATACCATTAGTGCATTATAACTACTACTTGTCTGTAATTTTGTATTTCTTCTATGTGTTCTATTTGTGAGGTGCTGCTGATGTGTGTTTAGGTGCTGGAATAGTTTTAACTTGTTTCTGGATTGCGATTTTCTCCACGTTGAACATAATTGTCTTCATTAAATTTGCCTAGAAATTAGACGTCTACACTGCAATATTGAGCTTTTTTTGAAAGATTCTTTTATATATACGGTTTATTATAAACAGTGTTTGGGTTTACCATCCCAAGGTGCATTCTCCTCTTGCTGTTTATCCAGTTAGAGAACAATTACAGGCTCCAAAGTTAGCAAGTGAGAACTCAATAATAATTTTATTATGTAAATATTGCAGTTTTTTCTGCCTTGAGTTTTTGTGGTTTGGATTATCTTTTGTCATAAATCCTTATTCTCGTTCTCGTGAGGCCTAGAAATGGATCTCCACAATAGGATTTGCCATGGGCATTATCATGCAGCAAGTTCTGACTTTGAGTCTTTCTAAAAGGGTATAAAGAGGCAAAAGAAGAAAATTAGCTGAACACATGAGTACATTAAATACAGAAACAGTGTTCAACTTCACTACTAAACAAATTCCTGTCAAATTTAGAAAGTTAAGCAAACGACCAGCTAAGGTGCTAGTGATAGAAGTTTGCGTTATT